AAGGGGGGTTTAGTATAATTCGCCCCTATTATTATTATAAGTTGTCTCTATAAACTCTTCTTTTTAACATAGATTAATGAAATTTACATAGCTAAAATAAAATAAAATTCTATTCAAAACTTAACTGAAATTTGTAGAAGTTAGCCAGATCAAGACGCGGACAATAACAAATAATGACATGTGACTAGGATGATCATTGTTAAAATCCACAAATAGCTATCATGTTGAGTAAATGGCACATGTAGTATCAGCTTTAAAACCCCGAGCCAGGGAACATCAATGACTGTTATTTACAAGAAACTTGCAGGAATGCAAGTGAATCCGATAGACCCAGAAACCTGTTTAGACTTGGTGTCTGTGTTGATAGATTCCATGATGAAAACGTCAGTAGTAATTGGTCAAGTCAAAAGTCGGTCGGTTTAGGTTTGCTTGGTGAGGCAGTTATTGTTAATTTACTTGCTGATTTGCTTGTACGAAAGTGATTGAAGACTGAAGATCAAAGACGAAATGAAGATTGTAAAAAAGAAGAGGTTCAACACTACAAAAATTTAACTTACCAACAGACTGAACTTTAGACGGGTTGTTGGCGATTGATCCAAATAAGGTTGTGGACCAACCCAATTACCCAGTTGCGAAAAAATAAAGAGTTTCTAAGTCTAAAAAATTTGCTTTTACCAATTTATCTTGAACTAGACTTTCTAAAACACTATAAAACGGCTCATTATCTTCCTTCCATTAAAATAAGCAGAGAGTAGAAGAGATACATCTTTATGAGATTATGAGAACTTTCACATGCGTAGCTCGAGACTTCCAGTAAGAACCTTGAAAACTTTGTGTGATCGAAGTTGTTTTTCAGAATTTGGCTTGGTTCTTCCTCAATGAGAATTAGTCAGTGTTTTCCGTCATATTTTCTGAAGACCTGTTGTAACTCTTTGGCTGGGAAGGAATTTGTAGTACATCGAGCAGACTCGCTGCTTCCCATGAGGGATCATAAAGAATATGCTGACATTATGTGGAGATAGATATATGGATTGTGTGAAGATTGTTCATTAATTGGAAAACTAGAGGACTTGTGATGAGAAGTGTCAAGTGTAAGACTAGGTAAGATGTAAATCATTGTGGTGGTTCTTGGTAAGAATCTATAAGAAGATCAATCATTGTCCTTCTTTCTTGTATCCCGTGATTTCTTCATGTTTGTGTTTTCTACGTAAAAAGTCGTGTCTTCTGTTATTCTTTTGAATGATTGGGTGGTTGATGCATAATGGCTAGTTGAATTTTATTAAAAATTAACAAGTAATAAAACTTAGAAATATGATCATGTGTAAGCAAATTCCTAACCAGAACCACATTGAGGTGTAATTTTATTTCTGTAAATCAAATTGAAGATTCATAGACTTCAATACAAACACTAGGGTAAAGTAAGCAGAGCACTGTAAGGACACTTGATGTTTAATGAATATTTTAGAAGGTTCTTTATGATTAAGAAGTTAGAAATATATTCTAAGTGGCAAATTGGACAATGCACTCTTCGTTCACTTTGGTCTTGCACCGGTCGAAGTGTCCATTGGATTTTTAAAGGCTCAAAACAGTGAACACTAGAACCAGCGGGTAAAACAGTGAACACTAGAACCAGGGGGTTTTTGTACTTACAGTGGTCCATTTTGTTTTAGCCCAAACATGTGTTATAACCAGTAGCCAGTTGCACTGATGGAAGATCTGACTTGCACCTGTCCAACTTTTCCCAGTGCATGTCTTTGTTTCTTACCCTGCTTCCAACTTCTTTCTACTTTCTAGTGAGCGTCTTCCAATGCTTTTAGAAAACCTTTTCATCTTAAAATCAAGACTCTGTCTACAAAAGCTGAATATCGATCAATTTGAAAAGAGAGAGAACTTGTGATTGAATAGAGACATGTTTGAGAGAAAATTTGCTAAGAATTTTTTTTTTGTTTCTTCCAAAGTTCTACGCACTTTTTACACGTCGCTGCCAGTGGTGTGTGTTCTCACTGTTTGTGGATATCGAGATATTCTACTGAATTCATCCTAAATGATTAGAGCAGCATAATAATCGATGTCTTCACACTTGCAAGTGGAAGGAGAAAGGCGATTAATCAATATGAAAAGCCGCTCTTCATGAGTTGTTCACATTGGCGTGGATGAGCGTTGATGGTGATTCTAAAGTTACCAAGATTGGAGAATAATGTGTTGGACATAAATCAACTAGTGAGACTCGGCCGAGTTCAAGTCTGATACTCACTGATATATCGGTGGGAATAGGAATCACATGAGACTTGGCCGAGTCCCTAGGGGATTCAAATCTCGTCCTCAAACCTAGGGAATCCGCTGAAACTCAGCAGAGTCCCTTTTAAGTCCCTGGGGACTGCAGCACATCTAATGGTGTGAAAGGTCATAACTGATTCCATTCTGATACAACCCCGCATCTGTAATATAAAGTCTGTGTAGGTGTCAAACCATCCTACAAATACGATTTATGAATGACAATAAATGTGAAGCAACTTTCTTAAAGTTAAGTGCAGCTTCTCTATTGAAGAAGTTCTCTTGCCAACGGGCAGTGGCCCAGCAGACAGCAGTACCAGGCCCCTACTTCTCGAAGGGAGGTCAGGGGTTCAAGCCTCAATGGAGGCATGGGTGTGTGAGTACCACCAACTAAGAAGAAGAAGAAGGAAAAAAAAAAAAAAAAAGTGCAGCTTCTTTATTGAAGAAGTTCGCATATGAACCCTGTGTATTCTTTTAGAAGCATATAATCAAATACTTAAGTAATAAGAGTTCCCTAATAGGAAAAAGAATGCAAGTCTCTCTTTCCCTCACAAAGAATGTAATTGCCAATTTGCCATCACGATATCTTTGTACGACTCCACAAATAGCACAAATTGTTCGGAACAATATTAAGTCCAAGCAAATATCATGCAAACTATTTTTTCACTTAAACCAGAATAGAGCTCTATATTGGGTTTCCTTACTAAAGTCAGTAAACTTGGTTTTTCTTATATTCCACCACCTTCTTTCTTTGAATATCTCAACAAATCTTCAATTGCTTTAGATTGGTCAACATCCTCCAATAGAAAATCAAAATAAATTCTAATCACATCAGTATGTGTTAGCATATATGATAGCCACGATTCATGGAATGACTTACCATAATAGCAGAGATTTGATTATGCATATGTTAGCATATATGATAGCCACGATTTATGGAATAACTTACCATAATAGCAGAGATTTGATTATGCTATAGAATATGCCATAGAATATGCTTTAGAATATGCTGTGATTTGATTTAGATTTGATTTAGTTTCCTTTCTTGTAATATGAACATGTGCTCATTTTATCTATAAATACTAGAGCTGTGAATGAATGATTCATCTCATTCAAGCCTTTACACAATTCTCTCCTCCTTTTTATATTTCTACTTGGTCTCAAAGCCAGGGTGGTCTGACTGCAATGAGGGCATTGTGAGTTCGGCACCACCCATTCAGGAATGGTCTAATGGCCATCCGGGAGGTGTCGGGTAGGCAGGGTGGTCCGACCTCAATGAGGGCGTTGCAAGTTTGGCACCACCCATTCAGAAACGGTCTGAGGAGAGATAGTCGTTTCTTTTTTATGGTCTGAGTATACATTATTGATTCTTTCATTTACATTATTTAAACATATGTATGAAGGGGAATGGTTTGATTCTTCCATCTACATGTTTTAAACATGTGAAGGGAAATGGTCTAAGGAGACATTGTTGGTTGTTTATGGTCTGAGCAGACATGATTGGTTGTTTATGGTCTGAGCAGACATGATTGGTTGTTTATGGTCTGAGAAGACATTTTTGATTTGTTAATCGGCACTTCATTTGAGAGAAAAATCATTGCTAGTCAGATTTTCACTCTGCAACTTGTAGATTCTTACAAAGGGCGTTAGCAAAATTGTGTTTAAGAATGCATTGTCCAAGGGCGTTTCAGATATCCATGCACCAACTTGAGGGGGAATGTTAACATATATGATAGTCACGATTTATGGAATGACTTATCATAATAGCAAAGGTCTGATTATGCATATGTTAGCATATATGATAGCCACGATTTATGGAATGACTTATCATATTAGCAGAGATTTGATTATACTATAGAATATGTTGTGATTTGATTTAGTTTCCTTTCTTGTAATATGAGCATGTGCTCTTTTTATCTATAAATACTAGAGCTGTGAATAAGTGAGTCATCTCACAAGCCTTTACACAATTCTCTCCTTCTTTTTACATTTCTACTGTATGATTGCAGAGAAATTCTTTAGAATGCTTTGTGATTTCTTTCCCACCTAATCCATTTTTGCTCTGTAGTAATTTCGTTAAGATTATGCTTGCCTACATATTTCTCTCCCTACTTACACATGCATGCTATATTAATCTGCATTTAGTACCATGACCCTCGCATGTCTTTAACATAAATAAGTTTATATGAATGATCAAATGCAATAAGGCGTTTGACAGTAAACTTTCTGCATTTAGCCAAACCATCAATCAAAACAGGGTTTTTCCTTCTATTCCCTTGATTTTATGTTATTATTTAAATCCTGAATAGTTTTTCATAGGAAGAGAGTGGTTTTTAAAACATAAAATAAAAGGTATCACGAGTAGTTGACCTTCTCCCCCACTGTTTCATTTACGCATATCACCAAAAATTGAATTTTCCATTTTCATAGTGGTACCAAGATGTACTCTTGTCATTCCATTCAAAGACCATTGATCATGCTAATTTTGAACTATGTACAACAATTAGGACTCAAATGTACTAACATGTAGTAGTGATAATAATATAAACGTCAATCTATTCGAGATATTGCAATACTGTTAAGACGATATGTATTATATTATGTTATGTGCATGTAAGTGGTACTAATTGTGCTAGTGCAAGTTTATTTTGTTAACTCGATATCGTGCATCACATAAATCCCCTTCTACTATAAGTTAACAGCATAGGGAGAAAGCGAAACAATACCTCGGAAGGCCATATAAAATGAGAATTGCTGTCACTTCACAACGACGCGTTAACTTATAGGGCTCTGTTATCATGTTCATGACTCTATTCCCTGCCCCAATCCTTGGTCGCTTCAAAATCTAGAAATTATCAGAGAAAATAGGATAAAAATCTCTAACCAATAAATTTTTCTTTTCTAAGAAGGCGATCATTCTGGAAAAAAAGGAAACAAAGAAATGAAAGCAATATAAGGAATCCTTACAGTGCTGACAGTTTGTTCTTCAGAAAGGCAGAGTCCTCTAGTCTCAGGCAAGTGATGATGGCCCTGTTCATTAGAAAGAACCATAATTATAAGCTTTCTCTCTGTCGAAAGGGGAAAAGAGACACACACGAAAGAAAAACAAAAAACCATTACTTATATAATGGTTCCAACATATTTTCCCTTACATGCTTTTCTCCATCCATGGCTTCATTTAGTGCTTGTCTCTCAACCAATAATAACGGAACCTGCTGCTCCACTTTCATGTTTAAACCTTCGTAAAATTCTTGTATATCAAGATGAAGGGGTTGACACTCATTGGTATCCATGATTGCAGAATCGAGACACTCCAGGCAGAGCTTCCTACCATCATCAAGGGCAACATATCTTGTATCTGTTGGCTGCATATGATAAGCAAAAGATCCGTACTGATCAACATTTATCAAAAAAATGGTCAACTAGACTTTTCTGGAAACCATGAAAAGTTCGCTTTGGCTAGACTGACCTCCATTCTCTCACAGCTACAACACCGTGGAGTTCCATCATGCTCATGAAAAGGGCAGTATTTTTGGGCCCAAAAAGGATGTGCCCTATATTCAATAAGACCAGCAGCGTTTGTTGGAATCTGTAAAGGATGATATGCATTTCAAAGAACCAACAGAGATTGGCAATAAATAAAATATCTGAAGAAAAGTAGAATAGCAATTTAGCAAGTCTCATTTGTCAAATCTCATAAATGTGAAATCTCAGATAATCATAAACTGATTGCATTACGAGAACCCCAGAAATGTTGATGTAAAGCCTCCGAAGAAAAATGAATGACTGAATGATAATAGAAAGTTGTGCCCAATTGAAAGAGGCTTCTTAGATCTAAATAGTCTCCAAAAGTTCTCAAATAGAGTTTGCAAGAGAATTTTGGTTAGGAGCTTTATCTCTATATGAAGCCATGTAATTAAAGAAAATTTCCATAGTTTCTGGGTCATTGTGCAACAATTTTTTGGCGTGATTTATCACAGAAATAAGAAATTAATTGTTATTAGTTAATCAATCAGTAAAGCTATAACTGTAAAGGAACCAAAACTTATGAAATTGACTCCTACTGGATCTTTCATCTGATTCCAACAATACATGTTCATCAAATGGGCAAAGCTGACGCCACTTGTTTATTGAGACTAACCCACTGGTTTATTTTCTCCATGCGCAGCTTGCATGACGTGTTCTGGGATTCTTGTAACACAACTCAAAAACTAGGAGAAAAATGTCATGGTTGAAGTTTTTAAGTAAATCCATCCAGATTACTCTCACAGTGAGCGTATGTGAGCCCCAAAATATATATTTTTTCTTTCTTTTTGTTTTCTTTTCCATTTTTCTTTGGCATGGTTTATAGACAGATAATGACCATGGGCAGTTAAGTGGTTCAGGCTTCAAGTTGCTTCTCTTGTTTCCATTGAAAGAAGGGTGCTCAACAAATATGATAGTATACAACTTTTTGCACTGCTTTAATTTCTTTAAATTACTAACTTAGCTTTTTGTATGGAACACGCAATATAAATTTAGTGCTTCTACAAATAAGAAAACTGAATTTCTTTTCCTGCCATTTCATTTCTCCGCATAATTAGTCTCCCGTGTGATATAATAATAATCTATAGAGGACATTAGTTGAAAGTAACAACCGCAAGAACATTATTCATAACTTTTTTATATTACAGTATATGGATATTAATACACGGCATACTATGATATGACATTTAAATCCACCTGCATATATTTCAGGCTTATCAACACTAAATGAGCACTCGGTAATTACTATTCAGGAAATAGTGGTAAAAGGGAAAAATCAACTGAACATTCACTTAATATTGCTACACATAGTCCCTAGAATTCCAAAGATAGTATTGCCTCAGCGAGGATACAAGTCAAAAAACATAGAATATCAGTTTGTTTGCCCTGGCCATTCACAAATAAAAATGAAAAAGAAAGAGCTTGTGCAAGATACAAGAGAATCATTTCCTTGATAGCCAAGAGATACTTACAAAGTGCTTGCAAACATCACATTTAGGGTGATACTGCTCCTTGTAGCAAGATTTGTGATAAGGGTAATTCCCTGACATGGAAAACTACAAGCAAAAGGAGATGTGCAAAATCAACCACTATAAGCCGAGCAAATGGCACTTGTTTAACTTATGAAAAAAGAAGGGCATTTGTTTATTAGTAAACCAATAATACTCCCTCAATCCCACAAAATGTCTAACTTTCCATTCTGCTGGTCCCTAATGTGTGTCCATTAAATTAAACAGTTTTAATTATTTTCCTTTTCACATATTACCCCTTGTTACAAATACATTAGATGTATATAAAAAAAAGCAAAATGAATTACAAGAATGAGATGTCAAGGATGATCAAGGTTAGTTTAAGATGACTGCAATTAAAATTGTAAGTAGTCAATTCTTAATTATATCTCCTTAACTTGAAGGACAGAGAGAGTATTAATAAAAGGACAATAGATTCCAGGAAAGAATCAGAATTTTGGCAGTCTATCAGAAGTACATTTCATACCTCATACTCAACAATTGGTTGGTTGCAGGCATGGCATCGGAAACATTCTGGATGCCAAACTGCACCCATGCAACTCAGAAATCGTCCATGACCAATCTCAGCATTACAACCAGCACAAATCCTACAATAAAAATAAAAAGTAAACATTGCTTGATAAAGTTGTAAATGTGTGGAATTGCCTTGAGGTAAATCATAATAAAAATGAACTGATACATCTAAATTTCGATAGAAAAAAGTAACTGCTAGAGAAGAATCAAAAGACGGAAAATGATTGAGAGCTTTCATCTCTCCTTCCTCTTTACATTCATATTGCTCAGCTGGTGTTACTTTAACTATGGGCCGCATTACATTTTGCAAGAACAAAAATCAAAGCAAATTGATTTCTTCTGGTTCACCAATCGATTTCAAGTTCCTTCCAGAGGCACTGAAACATGTTTCTAGAGCTCCTGTACATGATCCATGTGCTGACAACAGTAAACAAATCGAAGATGATGCTGCTAAGCCTGCTATAGCTATGCAAAGCATGCCACTCAGCCAAAATGGTTGTAACGTAGTCGATTCAATCATTCAACTCATGGAGATTAGCTACCCTCAGGAATCTAAATGTTCAGATTCAAACAAAAGGTAACCTGTCTTCTACTCTTCTCCCTCAAGGATTTTGAACACAAATTTTTACAAGAAAGAAGGTACAGGCCCGAATACCCATCTATCACCAGGCTTGTCCACATGTCCAGGCAACCCACATCTGAACCAGTTCAAACAAAATCTGGATTGATATGTTTCCATGATAATAATGATCTGTGTCCAAATAGAAACAGTGGTACTTGGAGCAATTTGTTCCATGAAAAATCCAACAGTGGAGGAGAGAGAGAAAATAGTTTTTGAATACACAAAGCCCCCCTCCAAGAATGCTTCAGTCTGCTTGTTTTCAGAAGTAAAAGGAGATAGTCGGATACTTAATTTTTGGACAATTGCCATAAATGCTAGTAAAATATAGTATTGGTAAATTTCAGAGCAAATATGGCCTAAACTAAATCTTGGCCATGAAATATGGTTTTTCCCTTTTTAAGTCTAATAATGCTCAGGAAAAAGAGATGCTTTTTGAGAATAGACCTTGGCATATTGTAGGGAGGTTAATTGTGCTTAGACTATGGTAGCTTAGACTCGATCTTGTTTAGGAAAGGTTAAACTCCATTTCTATTTGGTTCAAATTTTTTAATGCGACCAAAAAATAATAATAATAATAATAAAACAACATACCAAGCACAAGCAAGAAGTTTGACATCATAGACACAGGGAAGAACATCGTTTGCATTGACAAGGTTCCTTTAAAGAAACATGTTTTAAGTCCTTGAGTCAATTATTATTTCATTGGAGAAGCTGGAGGAGAGTTCTCTATTGGTGTGTCAAATGTTATTTTTCCCTCTTGTGTAATAGCTCATGCTTTCAAGTCCACGCTTCTAATCCCTTTAACATACATATCATGACAACAGGGGGATCCTCTTGGGTATGAGAAAGGAAATTGATAGCTAGGTTTATTGATCTTAATTACCTAGCCACTCATTTTGTGAGTGGTTTTGTGTTGGGAGCCAGAGGGATAAGGATTGCTTTTCTTTTGTGGTTTTCCGAACTTTTTAGGTTGTGAAGTCTATTTTAGCTGGCTAGGCTTGCTTATGGTCTCGTGGCTTAGGACTTGCTTTTCTTTTGTGTTCATTCTGGTCTTTCGGGTCATGAAGGCCTTTCTGGCTGGCTAGGCGTACTTATACTCTCAGGCTGTGAGAGGTTTCTTGAGCTCTTTGAGGTCAATTTTCCGCTTCGTTGTATATCTTCTGTACGCCTCTCAAATTTGGTTAAAAAGAAATTTTGGCAGTGAATGGGAAGTCCAATAACAAATTCAATGACTCTGCAGCAGGTAGATTTCAATATCTAGAATAACAGATGCGTATGAGAGTAATTCCTTTTTCCACGCATACAGGATCAGAACATCAAATCCAGCAAAATCAAAGCACATTGAAAACTGTGTTTAACATTAAACTTCAGTATCAAAGGTTATAGTTGTACATGCTGGGGGCAAAAGGTTGCAATTTTTCAAAAGTTCTACCAAAATATGATTCAACCAGCACATAAAGCCCTTTATAGAGTATTACAATCATATATCAGTGTTTAAAGTAGAGGACTTATGACATCATATATATTTTAAACTATTACTCCTTTCTTAATATGGACCATTGCTTAAAAAGAAAAACCACCAGATTGACAGGCATGAGGAAACGAGTTCAAGTATGAAGTATAAGAGCTGCCACTTTGTTCAAAATAATGTCATATCCAGTCTTTCCTTCCCAGTACCTAAGTAAGCGAGGCCAACTATTGATAGAAATACATTTATGATTTATCTATATAGCTAAGGGACTGGTTTTTACAATTGACAGCTAAAGGATCATCAAGCTAATCGATGATGCCAGAAGGGCGGACTAGATACGAACTTAACCATTGCCATTATTTGCCCAAAGTGGCTGTAAACTATATTTTTTTAATTTTTTATAGTAAACTAGAATTGAAAAATAAATCAACAAAAAATTTAGTAGCAATAAAGTAAAAGAATCTTAAGAGGGTCAGGATCTATAAAAAATTTAAAAGAAAGAGCGGCTATGATGACTAATCATATTATCAGCGTAACTTTAGGGAATCTGTGCATTCGGAAAGAAACTGAACCATGATGGCACAACATGGAGAGAAAACAGGAATTCGTTGTCCTCTCTTTCTTTATATTCAAAAACAACAATGTATATGCATCTGTGTGTTGAGATCCAATTCAAAGAGGCCAACAATAGTTCATTATAAGAAACAAAAAAGCTTGACCACAGAAACGGCTAGTAACCACAAATGCAGACAGTACAAAAGCTAGTACTATTATCGACTTAAATCCTAATGAGCTGAAACAAAGACATATCAATAACAAATGCTACTCTCTTAATTCATCTATACACCCAGTACCACACATGCAAGAAGGGTGAGATATTTCCAATTACAGGATAAAATAGTTGGGAACATACTTGGGAATTGCATAATGATTAGTTAGAAGTGATTAAATTTTAATGACAATAATATGTATCATGAAAAAAACACACACAAAATAAGCAAGGACAAGTTAAACAAATTACCACCAAAAGTGAGATAAAAACTATCAGACATAAAGAGTTCGTATACCTGAACCCTGTTGAATAAGGAAAAGGTATAGGTTGATAAAAATTTCCATTGCCATTTGCAGATCGGGATGGAGACTCTACACTCAAGCTTTCTTGTATAGCTCTAGCAAGTTGCTCATCTTCTTTCAATTGGGAGTCATTGTCTGTCCAATCATTTGAGAAACTTATTAATTTAGAAATATCATAAATAAGGGCACACAAAATAGAGAAAATATTCAAAATATAGATCTGAAAAAACTCAATCACTTCCCTTTGCAAATACCTACTGTAGCAATCAAAAAGCTTAAAAAGACTAATCCACTATACAACATTAAGAAATATAAGAGAGCATGTACATGTGTGAGTTCCATTAACCATGCCTCTCCTGATTATCTGAATCATTGATGTACCTCTTTGTAAACACAAATTACTTTTGATCCACTCTTTCTAAGTGACTCTAATCCTTACAGTTTCCACTGATTGCCAAAATGATTTTCTCATGCCACTGAATAGAGTACTTATGTAATAACGTGTACAACATAAGTTGAATCTTCTTACTTGAACTATCATACTCGTCAATAAAAACTAATTTAACTAGTCAACAATCTTTATGTTTTCAAAATTAATAAATAAACACAGCAACATGTATACTAGCTAATTGCCAAAACACTGTCCTCCATTATATATCTCCTATTATAGCAAAGGCATTTTCTGCAAGATTAAAGCTAATCTCAGCCAGAGAGCAAAGCACAGAGTGTTGTGAATTTGGAGCACGTAATAATAATGAAAAAAAAAAAAGTCTCGCACTCTGATCACCTTCCATGCCACAAAAACTGCTTGCTAACTACTGATGTTGGATGTTAGCCACAACAAGACGTTGAAGTTTAGTACCCCGCTTTCCTCTTCAACTCTGATTAATAGCCATTCAAACACAGTATATCTTAATTCCCAAATAAGCCCAGTTTGTCCCTCATTGCTCGAATGCTATGCATTAAAATCACATAGAGATTATGCATATTCCATCAAGTCCTATTCATGATCACTAAAAGAACCAAGGAACATTTTACATTGACAATAAACTGAACCTTTTCCCATCAATAGAAACAAGAGAAAATTGAATCACTATATGTAATAATAAAAATTCACTTCGATGTAAAAAAAAAGTTCACGATGACTAAAAGAACCAAGGTTCGTGATGCTGTTTTATAAAACTAACTTTCAAAATTTTAAGAGCTGTATTTTAATTGCTGAATTTTTAAGTGTTAGATTCACAAATCCGAAAATCTATTTGGTATTAACTGAATTTTGATTGCTGAATTTATTTAAAACTGTTTGATAAGTACAAAAGACTGAACTCTGCAAACTGTATCATGTACAGTAAAACATACTGTACAACAGTACAACATCATCTACAAGTGGCAAAGCACTGGAACAAATGGATCATACACTACAAATATAAAAAAGTCAAATTCCAAAATAATCATGAACCTGGGCACACCTCCCCATCAAGTTCTTAAATTCTTAAAGGTTATTTAATTTGGGCATTCATTAACAGATGGCATTATAGCTCAACCTTAACATATATATAATTACATATTACACCATCATCATAGAGATAACTAAACGTTTGCCACATTACAGGCAGAATAATTAACAATACTAGCATCCATGCAGCAAAGACAAATCTTATGCCACTGATAATATCAATGGAGCTCACTAATGTCAGAGGAAGTTATGGACCAAGTTAGCAAAATTTCCGGAACACCCATTGCTTCAAGTAGAATCACGAAGACTAATATGCACGTAACGTTCAATAACTTTCAATCACATACAACTATGTTACAATGTCATTCTCTTCACCTTCATAGTTACAAGTACCAAACCAACTTCCATGTAGAGTATTGCACAATAATGGTAAGATCTTTACAACAATCTACAGTTCCATGAATACTACTGATGACACCGGATAGCTGTATCACTCACCAATTACATGTTTCCCTTTCTGATATTCGTCTGATAGGGAGAGCGCAATAGCATGATCTATATCTTCAATCTCTGACCATGCATCCTGCGTCCAAATTCCTCAATGAAGTAGGTAAGAAAAAGGAGCAAAATAAAATTTGATTAACAATTGTCCAATGTTACACCACTTCAACAAAGGAGCTATAAAAACATTCAGTGGAAAAAAACGACCATAGATATGTTGAAAAAAGCATGAATTGACTTCTTCTTTTTTATAAGTAAAAATATATTAGAGCGTTCAAAAGGGGAACGCATCCCGAAAGCTATAGAAAAAAAACATGAATTGACTTTCATCCCAGCATTTTTAGTTAAATTGAGACTTGGAATCTAAGTTCCCACATTAGGCAAAATATAGAAAACAATCTAGCCCAACGAAATGATGATAGAAAAGCTCGTAATTACCCCTGAACTTGAAGGTTCATTCCCGACTGTATCCGATCCATATCTCCAATCATATCGCCCTTCTGAAATTTTATGGCTTGAGCCTTTAAAAATTTTGCTAAGCCAACCCATTATGGAACGCGTTATCTGCTCATGTCAAGAAAGTTTTTAGTTGCATAAAATCATCCAATCAAGTAGTAGAAACATCATGAGGATGATAAAAACAGAATGTAGAATCCTCAGATATTCTGTATTAGCTAGATTCCCACAGACTTCGAAATACACACAAAGAATTTATGCTTATTGATTTTAATATTCACTATGAAAAACTCTTTTTCGCATTTCCTTTTTCAATGAATAAATCAGTCCTAAGATGATTGGTTCAAACCCAAATAAAATAACTCAATATTTTCAAATTTGGTTTTAAGACAAATGACAAGACAAACAGAACCGCGAGAAATGCAGATTATCCCCATACCATTGCACAAAGTGGTTGTCAAGAATGTAGCATGCAAGCCTCAATTGGAACCACGGAGCATCGAATGCAAACCAAATAATTTACTCCTCATCAAGAAAGCTAATCAAACAAGAAAAGAAAATGCACAATAGAATGACTCATCATCACACATAAACTACTGCCCTAGATATCTAAGTTTCAAATAAGCAACCCAAAAAATTCTAAGATGAGGCATCAAAGTTCTTATCATATCCCAAGTTAATATAAGAACGACCCAGAAAAAAAGATTCTTCCAGCTTATTGAGCCCATTACATTAATGGCCATTAGCATATCACCCCATATTAAATAAAGATAAAACAATTCATAATATCTTGATGAACTCACATTAATCAGAGAATCTGAAGAAATGGTAGAAGCTGAAAAACCCCAGATCAGATAAGAACCCAATTAGCCCAAAAGCCAGCATCGTCCAGAACAATTACATTCGAATAAAGATATTCTCTACCGTACCCTTTTATTTTCTTTCAATCCAAACAAGAATCTACAAACGAATAACTGAGATATGAAAAAAATATAGGGTCCGAAACCTTAACAAACACCCAAAAAAATGATACTATATATAAAAGGATGGTTGAAAAATTGAAGAATGCTTGAATAGTACGCATTATTCAAAGTCAAAGAAATAGAGCTTAACCCAAGAGGGTTTGACGACGGAACATCAAACCCAGTTGGGGGTTTTCACTTTTCAGTCCGTTTGAATGCGTTGAGAGGTTTATATTGGCGTGTGGGGTCCTTTTACCTCTCTCAGAGAAAAAGGACCCCCAAAAGTTTCTCGATGAGAGAGAGAGAGAGAGAGAGAGACAGAGCCTGAGGAGAGAGAATAGTTTGGTCAGCTTCTGTTGTGTGAATTATGTAAGGCAACGCTAAAGACGATTCTAACGAGTAATTATTCATTTATTGGAACTATACTTCTTAGTTCTTAAACACAATCCTGTCCGTCCATATCAAGAAAGATGCCTAATCATTCACAAATGAATAACAAATTCTCATCAATATATATTTTTTCTTTTTAATAATATTTGACTAATTGCAATCAAGACTGATCAACACGTCTAATAAGCCATTCTTTTAATTCCAGCACCGATTAAATTTGAGAAGGGGCCTTGTGTTACAGGGTATTGACACTGTTTCATAATTTTATACTCATGTTTTATTTGATAAGGAAAAATCTTTAATTAAGGTGGAGTTATGAAAAGTTTGAAGTGGAGTTATGAGAAATCCTTGTGTCTACCTTTGGCTATTGCCAAAGTCGAACCTGTTATAATAACTTCTTATAAGTAAGTTGTGGAATTCTTGTCAAAGTCAGAAAATTTAGGGAAAAGGTTCAAGATTTGAGAAAGAAGTTGCACCTAGTATTTTAGAATTAGAGATTGATATGGTAACTCCTTGTATGTAAGTTATGGAATACTTGTTAAATAAGAAATTAAGTTTTGAAGACTCTATATATAGATATAGGTATGAGAGGTTAGCTAGAGAAAACAAAGAAAAGATATAAGGCGTTTAAGGGTGACTATTATGGGAAAAAGGGGGGGTATATGTAATTTTCAAGTATATATATATATATATATGTAATCTCAAAAGAGATGATGAGTGAGTGAGTGAGTGAGTGAGGTTTTGATATATGATTGTACATTATTTTCCTTGATACATATTGTGTTGTGCATGGATGCATATGATTGTTATATTCACATATGCTTATGTTGATATGATATGATGTGATGTAATGATGCGTCCATTGTGGACGAGGGATTTAACTTTCAACAATAACTGATTATGGAGTGAGTTAAGGATGGATTAGGGGGAGTTAATTAATCCATAATAGGTACTTATTCCACATTGAATTTGAACGAAAAAAAAAAAAAACAAATATATATGAATTAAGTGTTAATCTAACTTAATAATTTAAATTTTTTTATCAAATCGTGAAGCACCTGTTGTAATAGTTGATATTGGGTTTATATGTGTGCCACTTGGAATAAGCAGAGTGGCCATAATAAGGACTAGGTGGGAAAGTACTTGCGTTGTTACCACAACCTTTCTATAATTGAACCCCGAGATTAAGAAATTGGAGTATATCAAGACTTTTTGTCGTACTAAAATATCCACAAACAAGCTCCCTCCACCATGACATAAGCTGCCATTGTTCAACACCACAAATTTACTTCTTTTTTTCCTTTAAACACCCAATTTTATCTTTATAATGAGTGAATAGAAATTCCTTCCAAGAAATCATTTTTAAAATATATATATATATATATATATATATCTTCCATAATTGTATATCTACAACATGCCAAATCTGTTATACCAAATATTTTACTACAATATAGTGTTCAACTACTAATTCAATAATCAACTTCATTAATTCAATTCAAATGAGATATTAACTCTAATGCATAATTCTACATTAGTATTTATCACACAATCAGGGACATGAGGGTCTAGTGAAATATTTAATAAAATGTTGGTGTGGTGATTGTGTTGATTAAATATAGGACATGTTGATTTTTAATATAAATTATTGACTCACAATTCATATTGGGCACGCTAATTTTTAATAGTATAAATTATTGATTAGCAACACAAATCAATTAAGATAGTACTAACAAATTAATTTCTTTTTGAAAATACATCAAATTTATAAAATATATTCCTACTTAACTGAAAATGAAGTTTGTTGTAAATAATAATAATAATGTTAAATGCCTATATTGAATTGACTTTTTAGAGTTCACAATGCTAAAGATATGATAGTGTCATGCTATTTTTTTTTATTTTTTTTCTCTGAATATGACAATTAGAAAAGGAAAGAAATTCAAACAGAAATTGAGATCAAAGTCACGTGGACTTCTTCTTTCTTTTTCTTTTCTTTTATTTTTTTATGTGGACTTATTCTTTCTAATGGCCTTTGAATGTCAGAGAAAAAAAGAAAAAGGAATTTTTTTTAAAAAAAAACTGGTTAGTAAAACTTGCAAGTCATAAGAGGATAGGAATAATAGAAAGTACTTCATTTGTATCATTTCCATACTTCCATGTTTTAAAGCACGTCACGCAATATAGTTAGGCCCACAATCTAAATTCACATCCGATCCAATCCAAGTTGGGCCAAATTGTTCTTAAATACATTTATATGTTGGACTGCTAGACCTATTTCCAACCCATAATACCATGTTTGCAAGGCAACCCTAAGATATCCAGCTGTGCAAGTTGGCCAATCTAATTTTGTACGAGTTTGGTTAACCATTTTAAAATTTTGGGTTAGACTTTGAGTAATATTTATTTATTTATTTACGTGGCAAGGAGGGGGAGGATAGGGTGAGTCGAATCTGGGCTCCCACACAATCCAAAGGAGTGCTTCTACCAATTGGGATACCCAGCTTACCCCGACAATTCTGTTCAACTTGGTTCTTTTTTTTCCTTTCCATGGTATAATTAAGTTGGCATAAGATCTCTAGGCATGACCCAGAGGTCATATCACTCATGTATTCAGTTTCTAGGTTGTTTATAAAATTTTTGCACTTAATTTATTTAATACCTGTGATCTGAGGATGACTACGGTATCTGAGAGGGGAGGGAGACACGAGTCAAAAATCTCTCCAATGACCTGTATACTAGCTGCAATGCACTACGTGGGGTTGAGATCAATCTAATCTCCAATCTAGGATCACACGTAAGAATATGGGACATGAGTATGACACGATACCAACATAGTGATACGACTATTGTTTTTTTTTAAAAAAAATAGGATGTGAATACGCCAAAAATAAAAAAATAAAAAAAACTAAATTGTTGTATATGTTAAAACAATAATTTTTACTCATTTTATCTTATATAATCTTGAATGAAATCACTAATTTGGATCTTAGAGTTGGATATTTGTTATTTTTGTTTTCTTAAATTTTATATTATTATTTTTAGCTAATTCATAATATATTTTAACTTCTAATGAATCTCATTCTTCTAAAAATATAATTACAAAACTACCCATTTTGTCCAATAACCTGTAAATTCTAGCCTGGCGTGTGTGTTTTGGATGGGTCAAGCCTAACATGGACTAGGTCCATAACCACTACACCACTTAGTTGTGTGACCTTTCATTTCAATCTTGTTATATATATTCACACCAAGTTTCTCTTAAACTTCCAATGCGGAATAAGCATTCCTTCAAACCCATTTCAACTTTTCGTATACTTATCAAACGCTTCACTTTGGACTCGGTTTTGAACAAGTAAATATACCATGCTCATCTACTCTTAGAGAGGAACATGTTCCACTATAGACCCACTAAACACTCCAAATTTAGCCCGAAGATTGTTTGAACACACTAGTTTCAAAATAATTTCTTGCAGACACCCCTAAGAAAAGTATTTGTGCTTCTTAGTCCCTGTGCATCACACAATACAGATGCAGTGGAGTTGATGGTGGGACGAAAACATTCTTCATTGTCGAAAAATAAAATTAGGATTATTTTTGCTAAACAAAGCTAACAAGGCAAACAACAACAGAGCTACAATGCAAAATCCACAAAGGTCAAATTAAGAAGAGTGGAAGAAATATGCACAAGGGCTACATCTTGAACAATAGGACACTTCAATAGCTTGGCAAGCTCATGAGCAATTCGATTGCCATCATAATGAACATGGCTAAAGTAGATTGAAACAACGGTCCTAGAAACCTACTTGATATCAAAGATGCAAGTCTAAATTTCTAATAACCCTTGATAAGACTCCACCATAGCTTTATACACCACCAAAGAGTCACATTAAATGTTAGGAAACTAATAATATTGTAAGTCGCATTAGGCAGTTATATTCTTTTCAATTATTATTTACTTTGTTTATGAAATATGTTATTTTTATTTTTCCTATACAAGAATGCTAATGTAATGGAATTAATATTATGAGTGAAACTTAAGAATTTTTGTGGCTAATCCCTAATTCAAAGGATTACTGGTTTTTGATCTTCAATAAAAGGATCAAATTAGGGTCTAGAAACTGATCATCTAGTATCAAAACATTTGATCTGAGACGGCCAAATTTTCTTTCTTTCTTCTTCTTCCTCTATTGTCCATCTTCATCATATTCGGTTCAAATTTTTTCACAATATGACAGTCAAAGAACTTGAAAAATAATTTGCTGCCTTTATTAATAGGGTGGATGAGTTGCTGCGTGATACACAAACCCATAATGCTACCTTTCAGCTTATTCAAGTGATGTTGTAAGATAAGCAAGAACCACAACTTATTCCTTATTGGCCTCAATGTGATGAGCCTCTTCCCCTAAATGGCATTAACCTTAATCAGCCTCTTTAATTTGATGACGACAATTATTGACATGCTAGTCCGATTATTCAAAGTTGGACTCTTTGAATCGACTTTTCAAAATTTAATGGTACTGATCCTAAAGGGTGGTTGTTTTAGAGTGAACAATTTTAAGAAATAAATGGCATTTTAGATACATAAATGGTTTCATTGGTTATAGTGCACCTTCAAAGAGATGTTATTTCTTAGTATTGTTGGATTAAAAAATCCTTGGGTATTCTGACTTGGCAAAAAAAATATCTGTTCAGTACGTACTCGCTTTAGATCTCGATAACACATTGACCCTTGTTTAGCAACTCTATTGCTAAATAATGTTGTTATTTAATTCAGAAAGACAAGACTTTATTAGTCATGGTGGCCAATGGTGGGTTTCTATTAGACCAAGAGGGGGGAGAATTGATCAAAATAAACTTCTTCCAAGTTCACTGCAGGCTTAAAAAATACACGCAAGGCATAAAACACAAGATGTACAAGGAAACCCTCTCAATAAGAAGTTTTGGCCTCAGCCAATAGTAAACACCACTAGATGTATGCAG